TTTTTTTTTTTTTGGTTTTTCTCCAGTACCGGGAACCGAACTCATGACCTTGCACTTGCCAGGCAGGCGCTTTTGCCGCTGAGCTAGATCCCCAGCCCCCAACTCTATTCTTATAAAAGTAAACATACTCTTGCCTTACAATTTCTTGATCACATTCCTCGGCATCGACCCCCAAGCACTGATGTCAGCATATCATTGCCGGTTCAGTGGCTGGCGTAACCCTGCAGGGCAGAATTTCCACAGGCAGGGGCTGTGCTCGCCGGGGACACGGACAGGACTGGGCGTTGAACGTGGGAAGTCCAGGCTTTACTCTCAATGTTGCTGTGACCCTAACACTCCTCCAAAACTTAATGTTATTAATTTTTTAAAATCAATCTTTTAAAAAAAAATCACTCGCTGTGCTTGTAGTCCCAGCTGCTCAAAAGCCTGAGATAGGAGCATCGTCTGGAACTGGAGACCAGCTTGAGTGCCGAAGTAAGACCCAGTCTCAAAGACAAAAATCCACCTTACTGAGGTATAATTTGCATAAAGCGAAGGTCAGTCTTTAACATACATGGCGAGCATGCCCGAAGGAGCCCTCCCCTCTGACGTCCACACCGAGCTCCAGCTCAGGAGAGCTCTCTGCCTGTTGTTCCCCCAGGACACGTCCAGTCTTGACCGTCCTCAGTGAAGTCCACATCCTCTTCCACGCGTCCTCCACATGTGGCTACTCTCACCCCATGTGGAGTCTGGAGCACACACGTCACGAGGCCCTGCCTGTTGGGGTCGCTGGGCAACTTTCCATCGCAGGGCTTGACCCCGTTTTTCGACCGTTCACCTGTCCAAGTGGGGGCCATTATAACCCCAACCCCTGTGGTGGGGACAGCCACGGGGCTGCTCGGCGGCATAGAAAAGTCCAGTTTTTGTCAGTGCTGATGTCCAGTCTGAGCCCCTGCCCCATCTGAGCCAGCCCCCAGCAGGAAGCAGCTCACTACTGAGCACCATGCGGCAGCCTCCGGGCTCCTGCCGGGCCGCCTGGAGAACCCCCTTGCAGAGGGACCTGACTCAGAGAGGTTGTGTAACTGGCCCAACATGGCCCAGCTCTCAGAGGGTGCAGTCCCAGCGTTCAAGCCTCCTCCAGACCGAAGGCTGAACCAGCCCGGAGTGAGAGCCAGCACTGCTGGGGGCACCGTGGGCCTCTGCCTTCTCTGCATGCTCCTCCACCAGGCTCACAGTGTACTCAGCCATGCACACCAGAATCGGCCCCAACATGCCACACATCAGACACACGGGCGGACACAGACGCTGAGGGCACAGCTGACCACGTTCACATGCCCACTCCTCGGCTGGGTCTGCTCCTGCTGCTACGGCGCAATGCTCGTCCTGGGCACTAAGAAGAGCGCAATCTTGCGCCCTGCCTCCCGGAGGCTGGAAGGGCTCAGGGGGCACAGGCAGACGCGGAGCCTGGGAGCGCAGGTTTCCGCATTCCCGCACAATCCCACTGCCTTGCGAGTGCTGAGCTTCCTGAGGGAGGAAGTCAGGGGCTCCCGGGCCCTGGTCCCCTCCAGGAAGGCTGTACTTCCCGGTGTTACGGCCCAGCCGACTCGCAAGCCCCCTAGTCCCACAACCATGGGGTTAGGATTTCAACATGTGAATTGGGGGGGACACAAATATTCAGACCATAGCAAACAGACGTGCGCACACACGCACACCTATACAGGTGCACATGGGCACACACTCCACTCCGCAGTCCCCACGCCCTGTCGCCCCACAGTCCACATGCGAACACACACCGTAATACCCGGGCGGAAGGGAGCAAGAGGCCATCCACAGGGGCGACGGCCTGGCCAGCGCCCGAGGTGGCCCTGCCAAGCACAGCTCCTTCCCAAGCCAGCTGAGGGGGCCACTGCGGGACTGGGGAGGGCCCAGCCCCTACCAAGCTCGGGCCCAGCTGTGCGGCCAGCAGGAGGAGGAAGTCCATGTGGTCCGTCCTCTGGCCTGGGGACGTTCCCCTCCCTGCATCCACTTGGGGGCCCTGGGGAGCCTCACCACCTCCTTCCTGCAGCTCCCTAGACGCAGGGTCCCCTGCTTCTGAGCAGAGCTGGGAAAACTGAGGGTGCGGCGGGGAGGGGGCTGGGAGGGAAGCCACCCTTCTCCGCAGAGAGCGGCCACCAAGCTGCCGCCCAGGGAACAGACACACAACAGCCCAGCACCGGCTCCTCCGGCGCGTGGGCCAGGCCAGCCGCGCTTGTCCTGCAGGGAGTCCCGCAGGGCTCCACAGGCTGACCCTCAGCCCAGCCCCCTGCCCTGCCGCAGCAGGAGCCCTGTCCGGGAGGGCGGAGCCCCGCGGGGCCACCTCCAGCTGCGGCCTCTGGAGGTCCAGTCGCTGTGCTCTGCAGGGACAGACCCTGGGCTTTCTCTCCAGTCACAGACAAGGAAACCGAGCTCCACAGGGAATCTTTCCCAGCCCAAGGTCGGCTGGAGGTGAGCTGGGCCGCGGGTGACAGGAAGGCCCCTCTGGGCCAGGGAGCTGTGCCCACTTCTGTCCCCTGCATCCGTGAAGGTCGCTCCTCCTGCTCCCGCGCGCCCCCATGCGCCCCCATTGTCCTCCTGGGCCCCACTGGATGCCCCTTGTCGCTGGCTTGGCCACCAGGGCAGCAGCACCAGCCACAGGGAAATTACGGGGAAACAATTCCGTCTCTATGCTCCCCAGCCCCAGCCTGTTCTGCCACTTTCTGGGAGATGGCAGAACCCGTCTAGCGGCTTTGGACAGTCCCTGCCTCCTTTCTGCTCCCGGCTGGGAGAAGGGGAAACCTGTCCTGCAGGTTTGGCCAAAATTCGGTCTTGTTGCCTTTGCAAGTCCACACACTGCTCACTCCTATCTCCAGGGTGGGGAGCGCGCGGCTCGGCACACAGCCCCGGAGGTCGAGGCAGGGCGAGAGGCCATGTGAGTACCCAGTGCACCAGGCAGGGCAGCGGGGGAAGCCAGGGGGCTGGGGTCGCGGGGCGGGGACAGACCGTGGGGGCTGGAGGCCCCACTCAGGTGCCTTCGGGAGGCGGGAAGAGAGGCGGGTGGCCCGCTGGGTAGCACGCGCGACTCACAACCGCCTGGTCTGGGGGCTAAGCGAGGAGGTCCGCTCACTGGGTTTCCTGGACAGGAGGCTGGGTGCGGAGGGGCAGGGCCTAGTGTGACACCGGGGCCCCAAGGAGTTCTGAGGTCTGTGAGGGGCTCCAGGGCACCTCCGTCTCTGACCTCCCTGCTGCCCAGAGCCCCCCATTGGGCAGGATCAGGGCAGCTGTAGGGGTGAGCGGTGTGCATGGTGCAGCCACCCCCAGCTCCCCCGCTGGGCAGCCCAACTCAGTGTCGCCAGCACTCGGCCCCTGCCCCCAGGCCTGGAGGCATCGAGGGCCGGCCCATCCCCGCGGAGTCGGGTTGCAGGGCCCTGGGTTACCTGAGCTGCAGAGCAGCCTGTTCCTCCGCTCAGGTGTGCACACGCACATGGGTGCACACACACGGGAAACACACGTGTGCCCAAGTGCCATGCATACACACTCGTGCCTGTGCTCGTGCCGTAGCCGTGTGCATGGAGGAGAGGGTAGCTGAGGTTGCACATGGGTGTCCCGTGACATGTACACACAAGGGTTTCTCCACATGAGGCTGCTGCTGCTGCTGCCCATAGGTACAGTGAGAGCAGCTCACATGCGTGCCCCAGTCCGTCGTGGGCCTCAGTGTCCGCGGGATGTCAGTGGCGCTCGGCAGGACCCCTCTGGATGTGGCCCGCTACCCTGAACAGGTCCAGGTTACTGGAAGCTCCTCTTTGTGCCCTGGCCAGGTCCCTCGTAAGCTGGTGACTGTAGACAGGTGACCTTTAAACAGAGGCTGCCGTGGACTTTCCTGGGTGGCTATGACACCCCGGGGGGTCCTGACACATGGAGGTTGGACCACCCCATTCCCGGCTGGCCCAGGCTTGTCACTAGCTTGGCACCGGAGTCCCTACCACATCCGGGAACCTTAACAGGATCCTTCTAGTAGCAGCATCCTGCATCAGGACTCACCACCTGTTTTCTGGTTTTGGTTTTGGTTTTTGTACCGGGAATGGAACTCAGGGCCTCACACTTGCAAGGCAAGCGTTCTGCCACTGCGCTGTCTCCCCGGCCGTCAGCACCTGTCTTATAAATGGGGAAAGTGAGGCATAGCCAGGCAAGCAAGCTGATAGAAGTCACCATAGGACAGGCTTAGCCCATCACTGAAGAAGGCCCTGCACAGAATGGGCAGAGATGCTGGAGCCATCTGGACGCCGGTTCAACTCCTGCCTCCACCAGTTCACTTCCTCTGCCTCCAGCCTCAGTGTCTGCACCTACAGAATGGGACGACAGCCAGAACTGCCTCCGAGGCCAAGCGGGCTTTGACCACACACATGTGAGCACACTCACGCCACAAACCACAGGGATTCTGTCGGCATGCCTGGCCCCAGGAGGCCCTGGCAGGAGGCAGAAGGGGAATGAGGAATCACTCAGAGATGGGCCCATCAGGGTGCAGACAGCAGGCCAGGCACCGGCTCTGAGCTCAGCCTCTTTCGTGAAGCTTTGGAGGGTTTAGCACCCCTGCAAGCCAGAAAACACCGTAGCATGACCTGAGGTGAGGGGCGGACACATGGGCAGTGGCACCTGCTGCTGCCACCGCTGCCATCAGCACAGTTGTTCGTGAATGCAGTGGACAGTCAGATGGACAGAACAGCCCCGACCCTAAGCAGGAGCAGAGTCCACTCCCGGGCACCCTCTCCCAGGAGCCTAGTGGAAGACGAGCACAGAGAGAGGGCAGTTGCTGGGCAGACATCCTTGGAGCTGTGGAGCCAGACGACGCCTTGGATCAGCAGCAGGCAGGGGGCGGAAAGGGGCAGGGGACCAGTCAAAGCCCCCAGTGACACAGGCTCAGTCGGCCTAAGGATCCCAGGGCCCCAACTGTCCCTGAGGGACAGTACTGGGAGACAGGGTGCTGGCGACACCCATGTGGGCTTCCCACTAGGCCAGGTGATACCCACCTGCTGTGGTTGCAGCTGGGTGGTGACACCCTCATCTGCGTGGGGGAGCAGATGGCACCTCCGCGGGGACAGCCACCAAGACCTGTGGGCCTGAAGGAAATGCACGGTGGCTGACCGCCTGCCTTTGCCATAGGAACCCCAGGTCTGCCCTGGACTGGGCAAGGGTTTGTCCTGCAAAAGCCTTTTTAGTCCTTGGACTTGAACTTGTCACTAGACGAGGGGCTCCTGCTGGTGGCACTGCTAGGCCCCTGGGCCATCAAGGAGGGGCAGCAGAGAGCCACAGGGTCCCCTCCGCCCTGACCCTACTTCACCTGAAGCACATAATAGCTGGTGGGATCCCTGCAGCAACCTGATATGGGGCAAAGCTGCACGTGAAACAGAGGCTCAGAGAGGTAAAGCAACTTGCCCAAGCTCCCCAGAGGCCAAAGACAGGACAGGAGCCACGCCAGAGCCCTGCCTTAGCCCACTGCCCAGGCTGAGGCCCCAGCAGCCCTAGTAGGGGTGGGGTGCCCTCTCCTCTGAGGCACTGAGACCCAGCCTGCTAAGATTAACTCAGCTGTGGGAAACCCCTGTCTCCTCTTGGGGCACGCTACAGGGCCCTGAGGGACAGGTGGGGGCCCTGGGAGGCAGGTGGGGGTCTGAGGACCAGGCAGGGGGTCTGGGGGGTAGATGGGCCCTAGGAACAGGCAGGCCTGCAGCAAGTGCCCTCCTGGTGGGGACACGAGGAGGAAGGTGGCCTGGCCAGCCCTCAGGCTCGGTGGAGGGCTCCCTTGGAGCAGGTTCCAGTTGGTGAGATGTGCCCGGCTCAGATCTGGTCAAACGAGCACACTGCCATTGGCTGGAAGGAGCAGAACCGGCAGGCCCAGGAGCTGGTATGAGGATCCCACACAGCAGCCTGAGCCAGCCAAGTCCCAGCCCCACCCCCAGCTTGGTCTGTGGTCCAAACCCCACCTCAGGGCCCCTCTGTCCTCATCCATGAAGGCACAGAGCAGGGCCTGGCGGGTCGGTAGCGACTGACAAGGTGGCAGCTGTGACTCCCTTTGTGCTACCCCCAGGCCCAGTCCCAAATGGCAGGTGGGCACAGGCAAGCAGCCTGCTCTGTCCTTGCCCCTGCTCCTCCCTCGGGCTCGGCGTCAGCCTGGGCATCCGGGTGGGCGGTGCACCCCTGGCCAGCCCATGGACCCTAGGCCAGAGAGCTCAAGCCTCTGCCCACCCATCCATCCCACCCTGAGCAGTCCCCCTCACCCCCTCCACATCTACCCATCACAGCGCCCCCCTTAGCTCTCACTGCCAGCTTCAGAGTTCCCTGCACCCCAAGTACCCCCAGGAGACTAGCATCCTGTAAGCCCAAGCCCCAGGCCAGGCTTGCAGGCCCTCCTGACCCCTGGCACGAGGCAGTTGGGCATGTTTTTAGGACAGGGTTTCATCCCACTCGAGCCTCCGCCTGTGCCCCCAAGCACCAAGGCTTGCAGACCTTGTTCTGCCAGGGCCCACGCCCACCTCCACACCACCATCCATCTCTGAGTTCAGCTACCACACGACTCTGCAGCAGATTGGCACACTGTCCCCACTCAGCGTGCGGGAGAGTATTTCCTGCCATCCTCGGAGACCGGGAGAGGAGCAGCCAGGCAGGGCCTGCAGCTGCTCTGGGGCACAGCGAGGGACACTTGATTGGAAGGGGATGGGGCTCAGGAGACAGAACTCAGGCCCTGCCGGCGAGCCTCAGAACCGCAGTAATGTCACTGGGAACACCGCCCACCTCACCTGGACTGGAGCCCACACAGGCCTCTCCCGCACCCACGGGCACCTCAGGTTCCTTTGGGTGGTTCTTTTACGGGCGTCAGCCCAGCCCACATGGCAGGTACCAGGGGCCAGGGAAGAGCAGCCCGCTGGGCCAGTCGAGGTGGAATTTCAGGTGCAGCAGCTCAGCCCCTGCACAACCCAGCCTGAGCACGGAGGCCTGGCCAGCATCCCACCTTCCAGGGCCCTTCGCAGGCTACAGCCAGCATAGTCAGGCCACGGAGCCGCTGCGGAAACGTCCAGGCCCACACAGGGCGAGTGCACATGACATGTGGCTCCATAAGCCAAGTTCAAGTCCAGCTTCCTCTCCCCCTGTGCCAGAGAGGTGGGAACGTGACCGCTCTGAGACTCAGTTTCCCCACCTGGAGAGAGACTCCTGTGGTGTCATCAGGGTTAGATGGCTCTGGTCAAAGTGATGGATCCCCAGCATGGGGCAGCCTGCAGCTCAGGGAATGGGGCCAGAAGGACCATTCACAGTGGCCACATGGCTGGACCCTGGCCTGAGCCCTTGTCTCCCCTGAGCCTCTGGAATTCAGCTTCTCACCCTCAGCAGGGTGAGCCCCGCGCCCCACCTCCACTCTCCATTCCCAGAGCCCTCACCCACAGGTCACCATGCTCTGCCCGCCAGGCCCCCCCAGGCACCTCAGCCACTGAGCCCAGCCTTGTGCCTGGGCCTCATGGCTCTGTATGGTGCTCCGACACTTGGCCATAGATGTGAAGACCCAGCTGAGAGCCAGGCTTGGGCCAGGACCCCAAAGATTCTCCTTCCAGGCAGCTCCCAACCCATCTTCACCTCTTGGAGTCCCAGGCCCTGCTTCCCCTAGTCAAGGGCACCCACTACCCTGACCCGTAAGAGCCTGGAGTGATCGTATCTCTCTGTGCTCAAGGGGCTCTGGACCCCAGGTGCCGGGGCCATGTGCAGCGGGACACAGGCTCCTGGAGCAAAGCTCTGCTCTGAACACTGTGGGTCTCTGCGGGGCAGTTCTGGAAAATGCACATGAAACTATGTCCTCTCCTCTGTGGCCTGCGGTGAGGCCTTGGCACAGCTTATGCACAGGCTCCCTGCAGGTGTCAGGAGAGGGCGGAAGTTGGGGGCATCGCTGCACTATAGACGTGTGGTCAAGACAGCGCATGTCCTGCTGGGCAGTGACGGCCACGCGGAGAAGAAGCCACCCAGGGACATGGGGCATTGAAGGATGGGTGAGCTGAGACCCCAGGACCACACGTGGTCCCACACGCCTGTCTGCATCTGCGTGTGCTCAGCTATCTGTGCCTGTCCACGCGTGTAGTATGTGTCTGTGGGCGTCTGTGTGTGCGGGTGTGGCCTGCGTGTGCCCATGCTGTCTTGTGTGTGTGTGTACAAGGGGCACTGAGAGGGGGAGGAGGGAGAGGGCCCACAGTGGCTGGGCTCGCACAGTAGCTGATCGTGCTCCAGGAGATCTGACTCCCAGCTCCCCAGCCGGGCAGGTGTCATCTACTCTACTCCAGGAAGCACTTATATCGGGACAGTGCTGGCGCTGGTGGGCTAGACATCTTCAGGAGGACAAGGCGGCTCAGAAGGGCTGGTCGTCAAATGCCCCTTGCTCTCTGCTGTCCCTCCCCAGGGTGGCTTCAGCGGCACACCCGCACTCCTCTGCACCTGTCTTGGGGTCCGGAATCTCTGGCCCACCTCCCTAGGGTGAGCCCCGCACTATATGCATTCTGCCTTGAGGCAGACATAAGGGCTCGGCCCAACAGCGGTGGCTGGACTCTGATGCCCATAGGTCCTTCCTATGCCAACTCCTCTCCCCTCTTCCCTGCAGGCTGGAGCCAGGCGGGCGGTAGAAACACAGCCATCCCCAGACCTCGGCAGAGAGGCCAGGCGCTAGATGCCATGGAGAACTTCATAGAGTCACTGAACAAGCTTAAGGAGGTCCATGAGAAGGAGGTCCTGGGTGAGCAGCTGGGCACAGAGGGGTCCCCAGAGCCCTTAGCTGGAGAATGGTTTTGGTGGCCCAGGGCAGGCCAGGAAGCTCCCATGTGTCACCTCCAACTCTCAACCACCTTGGGACCCATCTTTCTAGAGGGGGCCTGAGCTTTAGGTGGCTGGATGCCCGGGCCAGGACCAGACCCAGCCTCAAGTGCTCCCCTCACACGGGGTTTGTGAAGACCACAGCCCCAGAGCATGGTCCGGGGGGGGGCATGTTTGAGGGCACCAGCACCTCTTGGCCACCCCCAAGCCCAGCCTCCGATTGCATCCATGCTGTGTTGTCCCAGAAGTCCACCCAAGTGGGGCTGGGTGCAAGTCACACACCTGTAATCCTAGCTACTCGGGAGGCTGAGGCAGGAAATTGCCAGTTCAAGGCCCCCTGGGCAACATAGCGAAACCCTCTGTCAAAATAAAAACAAACAAAAACACCAGTTCCGGCCAAGACCCTTGAGAAGCTCGGCTCTGTGGCCCGTCATCCAGAGCTGGGCCACAGCTCCTCCCAGAAGCGAGGTGTCCACTTCAAAGGGCAGAGTGCATGCTTCCTGCCGTCCCTGTGTCCCTGGCCAGAGCATTCCAGGAGGCAGAGCTGAAACTCCCAGTCCCTCCAGGACATGCCCCAGGCCTTGCACTCCGGCCTAGTTCCCCACCAGTCAGGGATTCACCTCCTCCCTACCCCTCCCAGTGCCAGCCCCGCCCAAGGCCTCCCAGACAGCACCCAAAGGGGCTGGTTATTTCTGGAGCATCCCAGAGGCACAGAGGCTTGGGCAAGACCCCCAGTCCACAGTGGATGACACAGATATAATGATCCAGGCATGATGGCACATGCCTGTAATCCCAGCACCCTGGGAGGCTGAGGCAGGAAGACTGCAAATTTGAGCCCAGCCTGGGGAACTCAGCAAGACCCTGTCTCAAATTTTAAAATGGGGGGTCAGGGCTGGGGCTGTACCTTGGTGCAAACGCTCTTGGCTCAGTCCCCAGGAGGGAATCTTATAAGGTCTTCCCCACAAGGTCTCTAAGTTCACACCAGCACCTCCCAAAACACAGCCCCTCTTGGCTCCCGTGAGGCCACTCTCAGCGGGGGGTGGGGGGGCATATCCCAGTAGGCAGACACAAAGCCCAGCGGAGGGGTGGCCAGGGGGTCAGGAGGCCCCGAAAGGACCCCACACATAACCAGTGACAGGAGATCCCACCTCTCGGGTCCACCCAAACCTTGCTGGGGGGTCGCTACCTGGGGATACAGCAGAGCTAGGCCTGACCTGCCCCTCCCCACCCCCCAGGCCTGCAGAACAAGCTCCTGGAACTGAACTCGGAGCGGTGCCGGTGAGTCAGCCTGGCGGGACCAGAAGGGCAGACAGCAGCCCGCTGCTCCCGGGGGCCAGGAGCTCAGACCTCCCCCCTCGCCCCAGGGTGCAGTGCTATCACTGTCCAGATGCAGAAGGGAGACTGAGACTCAGTGTGGGGGTGGGGTGAGCCCCTTGGCCAAGGTCACACAGCACGCAGGTGGTGGAGGACTGGACCCCAGGTGCACTGGCCTCCAGAGGGCGGGGCCAGCCCCTGCATCCACCTTGAGGCCTCGACAGAGCCTTCTTTGCTGCCCAACTGCCTGCCTGCCAGCTGGCAGGACAGCCAAGCTCACCTCTGCCCCAGCTGCAGCCCACCTGCAATAGCGAAGGCTACGGAGCATAGGACAGAAGTCCCTGTCCGAGGTCAGGAGGCTCTAGGCCTAGGTGGTGGCCCCACCTCAGCTGTCTCTCCGCAGGGATGCCCAGCGGGTGGAGGAGCTCTTCGCCAAGAACCACCAGCTGAGGGAGCAGCAGAAAGGGCTGAAGGAAAACCTGCGAGTGCTGGAGAACAGGTGAGTGGCCCAGCACGGCACTCGGGGACAGCCGGTGTGACGCACCGGGCAGGCCTCTCCACCGAAGGACTTCTCAAGGCCTTCAGGGCCTTCTGAGCTTCCTTCCCAGCTCAGCAGAACCCGGGGGACACTGAGCCCACAGGATGGGGACGGGTCTGGGGGCCCAAGAAACACAGTTTAGCATCCGGCAGCAGGCAGCGAGGGCTGCCGCCTCCCCTCAGCGGGGCGTCTCCCTTCCCTCCCACAGACTGCGGGCCGGCCTGTGTGACCGCTGCATGGTCACTCAGGAGGTGGCCAGGAAGAGGCAGCTGGAGTTCGAGAGCGTCCACCTGCAGAGCCTGCAGCGCATCTGTGTCCTCAGTAAGCGCCCTCTTGCAGCCCGTGTCCCCCACATCCCTTGCTGTCATGGGGGAGGGAGGCAGAGAGGGCCCCCCAGGCCTGCACTGTGGGTGCTCCACACCCCAGCTCTCAGATGAACAGCACGCAGCCCTGCTGGCTCTGGTCTCTCCGCTGGTCACCTGGAAAGGAAGTGCAGCCCTGCCCTGTGGGGGCTCTGCCCTCCGCCCTCCATGACGAGGAGGGGTTCTCACTGGGACCCTAGGACAGGCCGAGGGGGCCTCCCCCAAGCCTCCAGCCCCTCTGCTCGACAACATCCGACCATCGGCTCCTGCAGCAAGCACGCACGGGCATCTGCTGTGTACCAGGCCTTCAGCCGAGGATGGGGAGAGGGGGAGCAGTGAGACGGGGGTCCTGGACTGTGAGCGCCCCGCTCTGCCCCGGCCCGCCCCGCCCTGGCTGCTTTGCTCAGGACTCCCTTTTACAGCCAACGAGATAACCAGGCTAAAGGAGGAGAACAAGATGTTGAAGGAGGAAGTGAAGCACCTACGCAGCCTGGAGTGAGTGGGCACCCGACTCGCCCCCCACCCCCAGCAGACCCCACACGCATCCGGGGGCACTGCTGTGGAAGCTCGGGCGGCGTGCGAGGGCTGCGCCTTCCTGGCCACCTGAGGCCCCGTCCCTCAGCCGCCTTGCTTTGCCTCCAGGGACCGGCCCCCACCTCTAGCCAGGGAGGCTGCCTTGGACTCTCCCTCGCCTCTGCTGCTTTCCCCCGCCGGCAGCCGGAAGGCCAGCACCGAGAAGCCACAAGCAGGCCACGAAGAGGCTGAGGAAGACCTGGCAGGCACAGGTCCTGCAGGAGAAGGTGTGCAGGGCAAGCACAGGCCAGGGCCGAGGCGGCCCTCCCGAGGGCCTCCCAAGCTCCCTGCCACGGCCTCTCCTCCCACAGAGAAATCGGCGGGCTGCAGGACGTCTCCAGCGACCAAAATCTCCCCAGGGGGCAACCTGCCAGAGTTGCGGGCCGCAGGCATGGTGAGGCCTTCCTCTGACACTGACACGGGAGGCGTGGGTCGGGCTGCCCAAGCTCAGACAGTGGACGAGGGCAAGGCGGCGGCGGTCCAGGCCACCCTGATCTGTCCACCTTGCACAGAGCCCCCAGCGCATCTCCAACCAGCTGCATGCCACAGTGGCAGTAGTGCGGCCTGGGTCTCGGGCCTGCCTGACAGACCACAGCCCCACCGACGGGACATCTCCGCCGCCCAGCCGCAGCAGCCCATCCAGTCCAGGCTACGAGCACACCCTCCCTCTGGACAGGTGAGCCCTCTAGTCCCACCCTGTGGCCGTAGCCCGGCAGCCCAGGAGGCCCCTTCCTATGCCTCCACACACTCTTTCCTCTGGCTTGGCTCTGCTGGGCATCCTGCCCGCCAGAGTCCCTGCAGGGACACTGGGGCGTGGCCAGGCTCAGAGGTGTGTGGGGTGTGGGGCTCAGGCCTGGAGAGGGCACCCAGAAGGCCACGCCAAGCCTCGCCTCACTGCCTGAGGGCAATGGGGTTACAGAGGGCCGGCAGGTGGCCCCCGGGGGGATGGCCCTATGCGCCCACTATCCTGCTGGGGAGAAGTGGAGTCGGTGTCCAGCCCCACACCCCCATGGCCAAGCCCACCTCCCTCCACCCACTGTGGCCCCAGTAGGAGCCTATCCTCTCCCCTGCTGACCTCGGGTGACCTTGGGGTCCTCCCTCACCTCTCTGGGCCTCAGTTTCCTCACCTGTGAAATGGGGGCCTTATTGCCTCCCCTTTTTTGAGGCTTCTTCATTGAGTTTCTCCTCCCCACAGCCTCCTGCGGGCTTCCGGGTCCTCAGTCCCAGCCTACGAGTCTTTGAAGCGCCCCCTTCAGGCTGACCGCTTCTGTCTCCTGAACCGACACCTCTCCCTGCACCTCCGCAGCCTGCACAGCAGCCTCCCGGCCCCTGCCTCAGCCCCTCCCAGCCCCCAGCCCTGGGTGCTGAAGGCAGGGGAGGCCTGGGATGAGCCCGCAGGCCTGCTGGGCCTGCCCGGCACGCTGGTGGGCACGCAGGACCCACGGCTAGAGGGGGCACTACACCTGCTCCTGGCACAGCAGCAGCTGTGTGCACGGGTTCGGGCAGGCGGTGACACCCTGAGGGGCCTGCCCCCACGAAGGGGGACACCGCCCTCCCCACCAGTCGGCTCGGACTCCGACAGCCTGGAGCACGAGGTGCCTGGGGCAGCCCTGACCACAGCAGGCCTGCCTGGTGGGCAGAACCCATGGCCCACAGGCAGCTCCCTGAGGAAGGAGGCCGTGGCCACTCAGGACTACGCCTCAGACAAGCCCCTGGATCTCTCGGGCCCAGGCCGGAGCAAGGGCGCCCACGAGTCTGCCAGCCAGTCCAGGCCACTCAGCCCCAACCTTGCGCACCCTCGCAGGCCTGAGGCCCTGACTCTGCCCCGACCCCTGCCTCGCAGCCCCCAGACACTCAGCAACGGCACCCAGGGAGCCACAGAGCTGGAGCCGGAGGGGCCTCCCACACCCGCGGTAAGAGCTCGGCGCTGACCACAGGCTCAGCCAGTCCTGACCCTCCCTGCCCCCGCCGCGGTCCAGCAACCCCCACCTTGGGCCGGCCCCTCCTCCACCCCAAAGTCAGTTCCAGGGAACACTGGCCTCATTCACACTAGGAAGGGAAGGTGTGGCCCTGCGGGCTGCATCCAGGGCTGAGCACTCCGGCCACTCGCTTGCCTCCCCCAGGAGCCCTCCCAGCCTCTCCCAAGGACCCACCTCAGCCTGCTCACTGCCGCGGACACCAGAGAGAGGTCAAGGCCAGCGCCGTCCCCACAGAGCCCCCAGACTGCCACGCCCCCAGGTACAGTGAGCGCAGGGTCAGCAGCGTCCAGCCGGACGTGGTGCTGCCATGGGGAAGAAGGGCAGCACTCAGCCCTGGTGGCCCTGGGTCCAGGATGCGGTTCCTGCCACCCGCGACAGAAAAGCGCTAAGGGCCAGGCAGACCTTCCCACCAGGCTTGGTCAGGGGAGGGGCATCAGCCCCAGAGCTGGCAGGGACCCAAACACCTAAGCTCAGGGGCGGTGAAGACCCAGCCTGGGTTCAGACCCCAGCGGACACCCTGGGCAAGCCACCCAGCTCTGCAGGACTTTCTCTCTCCTAATTAGAAAGGCTCGGGTGGCTCCAGGGCTATCAACCTAGCTGACCCTTCCACCACGTCTTTCAGAGCCCAGCCAGGCTGGAGTGCAGAGGTCAGAGTCAGAGGAACTGGACGAGTCTGACACCTCCGACAGCGAGGTGGGTGCACCGCGGCATGCCAGGGAGGGGCTCTGCAGGCCAGCAGCGCTGCTCCTTGGCCTGACTGCACCCCTTTCTGCCCAGGTGAGCCTGAGCTTTGAGACGGGGGCCAAGCTGAGCGCACCAGGGGAGGAACACAGGTGCTTCTGCCCCTGGGAGCCCCAGCAGGGTCTACAGCAGAAGAGAAGGCAGGCCTTGGACCCCACAAGCAAAGGTACCTCCGCAAGGGCAGGGGGAGGGGGCACCCCTGGCCAGTGGACGCTGAAACAAGCCCTGCACTCCAGCACCAGCTCCCAAGAGCAGGGACCCAGGATCGGTTCTGTGACTCCTGACCACGTGACCACGTATCCTGAGCCTCAGCTTCCTCACTTCTCTGAGAGGACTAACACTAGGGCTCTGAGATTTCAATGAGATAAGGGCAGAAGGTCCCAAGCAGAGGGCAGAGGCCAGTGGTCCCATCATCAAGAAATGAGGGGTGTCCTAGTCCACGAGCAGCTTCCTCCCCATCCCAGGCAGGCACCCCCCAGACCCTCGTGTCCGCCTTCAGGCTGGACTAGCAACAGAGATGTCTGTTGGGCCTGAGGTGTTTTTCTCCACTGGGGACTGCGGGCTGCTCACTTGTTTGCCCAAGGTGGTGCCTTTGGATTCAGCTCCTCCTGATAAGGCAGGCAGGAGCCTCACAGCCCCAGTACCGGATATCAGGACAACCTTCCACTTCCTGCTCTGAGCACAATGGCTGAGCCTTTGAACACCTAAGCTCATAATCATGTGGCCCTGGTGTTTGCCCAGCAGGGCCTGTGGCTCAGCAGGCTGGGCTGTGGCCACCACAATGCGCCATTGTTGCCAGCAGGCTACTGCGGCCTGTGTTTGCTCGCGTGGAGAAGACCAGCACACCTTTCTTGTTTCCAAGTATTTCCTGCAGCGAGCACGCAAAAGCGTCCCGGGTGGGAGCCATCTACAGGGGGCCACCCAGCTCCTGGTCACCAGACTTGTTCCAAGCCCTCCACGAGCCAGTGACCAGGCCCAGGGGTCAGACCCTGCCTTCAGGGCCACACATCTGGGGACAGGAGCTACCCCTCTATCAAATTCTTGTGGTTCACCCTCCCGTGGGCCCCCCTTCTGCTCCTGCATCCTTGCCCTTAGGAACGGGGATGTCGGCCAGCCTCGCCCTGGTCTCCACAAGCTGCCCTCAAGGCCCTCAGCAAGAGCCAGTGTCACCTTGAGGGAGGAGGGCCACTGCCACACCTCGGCCTGACTTCTGTTCACTTCCCACAGCCTCCAAGAAGCCATGCCGGGGGAGAAGTAAAGCCGCTGAGGGCCCCGGCAGCCCAAGGAGTGCCAAGGACTGCAGCCCCTCGCCTGGCCACAGCGGCCCTGAGGAGACCTAACCAGGCCAGTGGCTCTCCATCCACCAGCAGACGCCACACCACAGCAGGTGGCCCTGGGTCCTGGCCCACGTCCAGAGGGGTCCTGGAAGCTCCACCATCTCAGAAAAGCCCTGCCAGCCCTGCCCCCCACTCAGAACAGCACCTGCTTCCTGGAGGCACATGCGGGGTAGGAGGCAGGGAGTGCTCGGGCCCCAGGCCAGCGCACCCTGCTGCTCTTCTCCAGCGGTGCCCTCCTGGACGAAATGCACCATCTCAGACCTAAAGCTAGGCAGGGCTGACAGCTGGTGGCAGCAGTCTCCGGCGCCCCCTTGTGGAGCCCAGGCAAACAAGCACCTTGCAGTGCTGGTGGCGGGAGGTGGGGATGCCAGGTGCCCTGCCAAGCAAGGTGTCCTCCCAAACCTGAGAGAGCTTGGAGAATAAACACAGAGGAAGGTGATACGTGCCCCTGACAGTGCCAAGCCACCTCTACCACCCCAGCGAGTGACAGAAGGATCTCAGTTGCCTCGGGACTGGAGGACAGAAACCCAGGGCTTCTGGGTTTGCAGAGTGTGAAGGGGAGCCAGTGGCAAGGCCCTGGGGGACACAACAGCACGTGCACCTGCCTGGAAGATCGTCCTTCTCACCCACAAGCTCCTGAGCCCTGGCCGTGCCAGCCAGCCGGGCAGCCCCAAGGCAGCTCACCTGGGGTCCCGCCAATAATACTCAGGGGTGCCCTGCTGCCTGAGGACACATCTCAGGACTCTGCACTCTGCCAGAGAAGCCTACGGGTCAGAGGCCCGGGCCCCACGGGACCCAATGAGCCAGGATGTGCAGGTGCTTGAAGCGGGGCCTATGGGTGACTCCCCCGGGTGAAGTCTGAAAGCTGCCCCTTCCAGGGCAGAGATGGGCACTGAGACCTCAGCTGGGCACCAGGGCTTGTGAGCAGACAGGAGAAGGGTCAGCGTATAACAGGAGGGGATGAGGAGGAGGAGGGGACTTCCCCAGGGAGGATGAGGAAGATGGCATCAGAAATTCAAACTTGGGTTTTAAGATATAACAGGAGTGTGTCAAGTAGGGAGAACGCACATGTACTCTAAAAAGTTGGCTAAAATCAGGACTCTGGGACAGTGGACAGACAGGAAAATGGGGAATCCCAGTGCTCTGGGGCTGGTGCAGGCGGAGCAGCTGTGGGCCCCACGGGATGGTGTAGTGGTTTAGCAAGACCCTGTCTCAAAAAATAAAAAGGGCTGGGAACATAGCTCAGTGTGGAGGGCTCAGCCCCCAGCACCACAGGTGAAAGGAGGCCAGGTGGAGGGTGCCCAGCACACTTGGGGGAGGCCGGGCAGAGGGAATAACTAGGACTCCCCCTGCCCTGCCCTGACAGCATCCAGAGCCCTGCACCCCACATTCAGGAAAAGGCCAGGGTAAGCGTCAAAGAAACTGAGGACCGCAATGGGGCAGGGGCTGGCCAGGCTGAGGCAGGAGGGTCTGCGGGACCAGCAGGAGTCTGAAGGACTCCACGGGGTCACCAGGAGTCTGCAATTCGTGTGCTGGTGGGATGGCAGGACACGGGGCATATTGGGTGAGGCCTGGGCGTAGTGGGTTCCAGGGCCACTCTTTCTGCCTGCTGGCTCAAGAAGCCAGAGGGCACCATCCCAAGAGGAAAGTCGGGTGTGTGCATGTGTGTGTGTCCCAGCTGTTAAAGGTTGCTTTGATTTTTCCAAAATGAAATAAAACACAGGCTGTGTGCTCCATTCACTGTGATCTCTGTCCAGTCTGGGCCTGCAGTCTCTTACCTGTCCCCTGGGGGAGGGGGGCAAGCAAGGGACAAACAGACCTGGGGAGAAAGCTACATTCCTACCTCAGTGTCCCTCCAGCACAGCCCAGTGCCAGAGGTGGCCCGGGACCTGTTCCCTGCTGCCCAGCAATCTTTCGTGGGTGTGGCCACAGGCACCCCCTCCCGTGGTGCTCACATCCCCCTCCCCACCCCATCCACAGCAGCTCCTCTCTGGGATCCCGGTTATTGTCCCCTAACCCCCAGGGCCTCCTGTGACAGCAGGAAGGGGTGAGGGCCAAGTGCCACTCCCGGCTCTGCACTCACAGTAGGACTCACTTGTCCCGTTTCAGACAAGCCACCCAGCTCAAGAAGGCTGGGTCACTGGCGCCAGGTCCCTCCACCGCCCCCAGCAGTGTCTGCTACTGGAACCTGAGTCTCCAGCCCACAGACTGGCGCTCCGGAGTCGGCTGACACTGGATTCCAAAAGGTGCAGTTCTTCCAATCCTGGAAATGCACGCCCTGGGGGTACACACCACACTCTCGGGCCGATCCCTACACTGCCACACGGAAGCTGCCCGCCCTCCCTCCTGGGCCTGGCAGAGGCCCAGAGGCCAATGTGGAAGGGGTGGGGATGGACAGCTGGTAGAGGAAGGTGGGCAGGAGGGCCCCAGAGTCAGGAGGGAAGTACACTGGCCCCTCACCCCGGGAGCCTGAGTGAGGACGCCAGCCAGCACCTAGCTCAGGGTGACTGCGTGCGGGCATGCGCTGAGGGTCCCGGCCACCCCGCGTCCCCTTCTCAGCCAGTTTCAGCCGGACCACACCCTGGGGTTCCCCCTTTAAAGGTAAGTAACCCCGGAAGTTGATCGCGAAGTGCAGGATCTGCAGAGCGATGTGCACGACCCAAGACCCTGCGATTCGGGGCCCGGTCGTCCCTGCGGGCAGCAGCCTCTTGTCCACTGACCCTCGGGCTCTTCTTCAGGCAGGGAGGGAAGTCTGGTGGCACGGTGGGGCGCCGCTGGAGCCAGTCTTATGCAAACCGAAGCGCCGCCGAGCGGAAGGCAGAGAGGAAGCTCAGCCCACGGACGTATGGACTGGATGGGGAAGTGAAGCGACGCATGGCCTACGCCCCGGGTCCGCAGCCTCCAATGCGCGTTCGCTGCGGCCAGGCCAGGAAACAGGGAGCTGGCGCCTCGCGGCCGCAGACAACAAAACAAGGACTCGAACCCGTGGCACCGCCTGGCTCGGACAATCGGCTCCCCAGGGTAGCGCCTAAAATGTCTCTAGGACCCAGGGGAGCGCCGTGCTACGTCACCCGCACCGGCGCCGCGCCAGCCAATGGGCGGGCACGAGGGCGATATATTTGCATGTGGGCGCGCCACAGCCAATGGGCCGGCACGAGGGAGTCATATTTGCATATGGGCGCGGCGCGGCCAATGGGCGGGGGCGCGGCGGCACGGCGCGGCGGCGCACTCGAGCATGGCCGCGGCC